ACTACATGATATAGTAGCATGGTGTTTGCTTTCCTGAGTGCACACACTTCATATATAAATCACTCAATTGACACACAAGGCAGTTGATGGGGCGCTTGACCCAAATTACAGAAAACTTATTTTCTCAGTTTCCCTGTTACTCTGGATCATAGGCTACATACTGTCACCATTTGTCTTGGGACTATTTCTTCGGTAGGAAGTAGTTCCGATGAGAACTGCTCACAGTGAGGTTTGTGGATGATTCAGAGCCAACAGGACTGAATGTGTAAAGAAATCAAATCCGTTCACCTCCATTGTGTTGGTGTAGATAGAAGCTCCTGAAATCTCACACGTATATCCCAAAATGTGTCCTAGTAAAATCAAAGAAATCAAAACAAAGTCATCTGATTCTTTATCCACAAATAAAAAGAAAAGAATACAATTGACTGAATGTTCTTCTTTATCTCTGTTTCTGTGTCACTCTCAGGGAAGAGGATAAGAACATCTTTGACTACTGCCGAGAAAATAACATTGACCACATCAGCAAGGCCATCATCTCCCAGAAAGCGGATGTCAATACTAAAGACGAAGAGGTAACTACAGAGCGCAGCGCCTAGAAATAAGTCAAGTGAAACTGTACTGATGCCATGTGAGAGTTGCTATTTAAAAGTCCAACTTGCATGAATGTATTATAACTAGGGGGCAGAGAGAAAGAGGAATTTATGTATCCAGAGGATCCATGCTCAACCTCCACGTCAGGAGGGATTCACTTTGTTGACGTGCCCTTTAGCAAGGCACTGAGTCTGTACACACTGCAGGGTTATTGTTATGTGCTCTGACCCCTCGTGCAGGAGGGCAGGTGAAAATGATCAGTGGAGTATCATAAAAAAATACAGGTCACCGGGGGACGGTTCATGCAGCTCTTTTTGCAATCGTTACATAACGGTTTCAACGATCTGAACCACACACACATGGGAACCACTCCTCAGGCAGAGATGAGTAAATTGTGTGAACGGCTATTACCATGGCGAGGTGTTTTCTGGATTGACCCTGATATCCATTCATCTGTCCCCGATTCACCGTCGGCCAGGCCAAATGGCTCGCTCCCTGCCTCCCTTTCATCGCCGCCGCTCTTCAGATAAGCAGGCGGTCGGCTCGTGAGTTCCCAGTCAGAGGCCAGATGGTCGAGGGACCTCGGCAGAGAAAGCTTTGTCTGTCCGCTGCCGTTGTTGTCGTTTGTGCTCCTGCAGCGCAGCTTGCTCAACAGCAGAGGGCAATGGTGAAGTAAGTTTCCCATCAGCAAGAAGCCAGATCTGCTCCTGCAGCTCAGTGAGAGAGCGCGAACTCTTTACGTGTGTGGCCAAATATCCACCTGTGTTATGTATTTCTTTTTTTAGTAGTTGCCAACAAAACCAAATACCAGTTTCGACTGGAGGTGTGTGGAGGATTTCCAGAATACATTAGGACACGCATGGTTGATGAACTCATCCCGTCATACTTGTATGTTCAACATTGCTCTTTATTGCTCAGCCACAGCGGCAGATGTTAACTTATTTTTTTCAGATAGATAACAAGCAACAGCCATCTAACATCGCAATTATATTCAAGTAACAGTAAAAACAAAAACTGAGAAATCAGGGAACCAAAAGGAGTTATTTATTGATCAGAAACACGATCATAACAGTATGTGTCCTGTATGATAAAACATTTTGGAAAGGTATGTACTTCTCAAAACTATTATCGGGGGAAAACGGAAGAAAGGACGGACAATATCAGATTATTTTGTATGTAAATAGTCAAAGGATACTCGAGTCATAATCACCTCTCTGCCGACAAGCTGGATTGTTTGGATATGAATGAAATAGTTCAATTGTTTATTGTTCCCAAAAGAGAGGACACAGATGTTGACCCCAATTAAAACCTTTTTAATTAACAATTCTGAAGCAAAATAAATGTCATTTATAGTTTTGTGTTGCATTCCTTCAGCGTGGGACATGCGAGCCAGTTTATATATTTACCACTATTTGTCAATAAAATGTTCTCTTTTGCTCTTCCAAAATCATCCAAATGCTTGTATTTTATAGCCATTCCAATCTAATTATGATTGCACTTTTTTTGTGAATGTGATTAATTTATAAATCATGAACAATGAACTCCAACACAAGAGTATTTCACTCTAAAACGTCTAACTTTGTATCGGTTTATTGTTGACGCAAACCAACTAGAAGATTCTGAATTGTCTGAATACCATAAAGCGTGATTAGGAATAATCAGTACCATGTGTTGGTTAAGCATACCTGCAGTCATCACAAGACGTCTAGAGGTTTATTATAGACCACAATTGTGGAATAGTCTTCCATAAATATCCAACAGACAACATCTGTACACATAAAACTGCTCAGGATTCACTGTAATCTTGACTTTAAGTGATCTGTTTGATTGGGAAACATTTGCATAAAGGAATGTTTCCAATGTGATTTCAGCATTATATCACTGCATGTTAGCATCTTTCAAATGTGCAACCTCCTTTTGCATACTTGCCTACACTACACTAATTGTTTCCTACTAACTCAAACATGCCAAACCACAAGTGTGCGTTAAGGGCAGAGTCGAGGTGAGAGGATAGGGAGAACAAGAATGTACATACGTTGTGGATAATGTGTCCGTTTTGTGTGTCTGGTTAGAGATGTTCCTTCCTTTACCGCAGTAACTGCTAATCTTTCCAAACAGCGATGCTTCTTTCCTCCTTTTCAAATGAGGATAAAGGAGGCTTTTACTTATCTACCCACTTGAGTGGAGAGTGCTTAACATTTATCACCAGTGGTTTACCTTCCTGGATAGGACTATTTCAGCTCTAATCAGTACAGACCCTTCTTAATGCCCAAACTGGCTCGCCCCAAACTCTGAATGTTTCTGTTAATGGTGTTTTCTCAGCTTTGAATGCTGCACTTATTCTATTTGACACATTCAATGTTTTATTAATCACTGCAACTCCCCAAAAAGCCCACTTAATTTGTTTGTGTGTGTGTGTGTGTGTGTGTGCGGTCTCCCGAAGTAGTAAACTCTGGTCTTCAGTGAGAATGTTGCCAGCAGTCAGCAGTAGAAACACCTGGAAGAGAGGAGGGAGACAAAGAGAGAGAGAGAGGGGAAGGGAGGGAGGGAGAAAGAGCAACTTATTGGTATTCTGGCCCAGCTCATAAGTATCCATTTTAACATGCAGCCATGGTGATCAATATGATTTAAGCAACAGAGTTGAACTTGGAGAGTTTGCTTTACCTAATTGGCCTCACTGAAAAATGAGCTTGCGTGGTTTTTATTAGAACAAGGATCTTGGACCTAAGGAGTAGAGTGTGTGTGTGTGTGTGTGTCTGTGTGTCTTGTGTGTCTGTGTCTGTGTGTGTTCTAGAGTACGGGGTTGAGCTGATCAGGGGGCTGCTCTTGCTTTGCGCACAGTGTCTCATCAATGAAGCTTTACAGATGTGTGCAGGTTACTGTGATTTGTCCGGGAGCACCTCGTTGGTCAACGCTTGAAACACCTCACTGCTCTTCTTTGCACACACATTCACATGAAGAACACAAACGCACATCTCGTCATTCATTATAGAACTGAGGCCCAGAGGCTCTTGAGTTCTGAATGGCCGTGCATCATTTATTTTGTCTGAAAGCAAAGAAACAAATTGAAGTAGAAGTTAACTTCGAGGAGCATGAGGTAGAGGAAGAGTATGCACTGTGTGTTTTTGGTGTAATTCATAACTGTCTGAAATTACAAACATGACACTGCATGCAATAAAGCTAATTTAAACATAGCAGTGGTGTTAAATGTTTAGTTGTACTTTCAACCTTTTCCACATGCCATTTAAATTATCCTTACGCTTATCCTCTGATGTGCACTTGTTCTCAGGGCCGAGCTCTGCTGCACTGGGCCTGTGACAGAGGACACAAGGAGCTGGTTTCTGTGTTATTGCAGCACAAAGCCGACATCAACAGTCAGGTGAGCTGCATTTTCCTCTTTCTGTGATAATGAATCGGTAAATGAATGAGTGGAAGCCAAACGAGCCCCTTTTTGTTAGAAATTGACGACTTCTTCTATAATATTTACCCAGAATGTCTCATTTGAAGTTATTAAAGAACAAAAGTTCCGCCTCCAACTTCAGGCTGTTGTGCATTCTAGTTTTTATTTCCAGTTCTCATTTTTAACAAAGGCCTAACCACATTTGTTTTATTAGCTTTCAACAGCTACAGCTCCATCGAGTTTTGTGTTATATGGACTGAAAACACCAGTATTGAGTTTCAGCTTCTCAAAAACTTCAAAGAAAGAAACCTTCTATAGGAAAATACATTGTGGAACAGCTACTTACACAGAACTAGGGCAGGACTTCAGATCTCTTTTACATTTTTTAGATTACACCTCTAGAATTGCATGAATTACTGAACCTGAGAGCTGGAGTCAGTTCATTTTAGGTGGTGGCAGAACATCAACATTCACGCAGTGCAAAGTTTCACTCACGACAACTGCCTTGCTCGGAGGGCCGATCTCTTGAAGTTAAAGAAGATGTGTTGCGACATTTTCCTACACCCGGACACAAGTGTAGTGGCTGTGTGTAGTTCTAGAAGTCAGTAGAGAAAACAGAGACGTGTGTTTTAGCGTATAACAGGTGGATTTAGGGCGGAAGGAAAGTCACAGGAGCCATCTCATTTCTTGTAACACTGTCATGCACATGTGTACATGCAAGCTCAAGGCAAACACCGACATCTCCAGCCTTCCAACTGCTCTTCTCTCTCTCTCTCTCTCTCTCTCCATCCCTCCCAGAAGGTCACCTTTAATTCACTTTGTGCCACAGACAAATCCCCCAGGGCTTTAGCAGACAGAGTTAGCTGGTAGCTAGCATGGTGGTTTGCCTCCCTGAGGTTTAGCAGCATCCAGGAGGCTTTAGCTTTGGCGGTAAGCTGGCTCAGCTGCACATCGGAGAAATTACTCCTCTTCCCTGCCCAGCGCCACGACGACACAATGCAGTTCACCGGGCCGCACCACTGAGGCTTTAAGTGTAAGGCCGAATCAATTGGAAGTAATCAGGCAAATTGTTTTATGTTGCACAACCCACATAATCAGGACATTTCACAAATGACTTTCTCTTTTGTGGTCATGCATGGCCCCTTTTGTTTTGAATGCTCGCAGGGAGGGAGGGGGGGTGGGATTTGTGGCGAATGGTTCATAAAAGACTTAACAGTGGGATAACTACGAAAACACTTCACTAATGATTTCGAGCCATTTCAAGATAATGACAGCAGAGGACGATTGATGTATAGATGGAAGCTTTTGTCCATTTGTAAGATGTGTAGACCTGCAGCGTCTTTACAGTCGTGTATCTATCGGTGAAATATAAATTGATGTCCCAATGTGCCAAGACTTTTCAGCAGTCAAAGAAGGAAACGTAAATCTTTGGCCAGGTAGTGATAATGGGTGGATACATATGAGTAGACTTTTAATTTATGTCCTTCTCACTTTTTTTTTTGTATCAAAACACACGGAAGGAAAATAATCCAATGCTTCTTCCATTATCTTAAATCATCTGTAGTGGAGCAAACAGAGAGAGGATGGTGTAATCTAGAGATCATTTTGTGTGTTTCAATTATTTAAAGCCCTGTTCTGCTTTATAAATGTGCCTTTTTGAGCAACTATGTGTACTCGAAGGAGGGAAAACCTAAAAACATGATGTTTCAGAGGGAGCATTCTTTAGCCAACCAGAGTGCAAACATGTCCTGAATTCATGCATTCAGGCCATCAGGACCTCTTCGCCTGCCTTTCTCTCAGGTGTGAGAGGAAGCCGGCTGTGTAGAAGCCTGAGTATTGAGGACACTTGGACCTCTGCAGCAGAGTTACTGGTAGCAGATTTATGAGGTGGCAAAGAGGTGGCTGAGAGAAAAATATAGGCAGCTAAATCATACCCCTCTGTCGAAATGCCAAATTATCTCACTACGTAAAGCTTACGGAGCGATATGCTTCTCATTAGAACCTGCTCAGATATCCTTTGTTTAGTTTTTTTGATTTGGGATTAAATCGCCAAGGAAGAGAAGACATATTATGTTAGAGAAAGACAAAAACTTGATGAAGCAGCTTTGTGCTTTTGTCCTCTTTGCCCGAAGCCGCTGCCACATGACGCAAAGAGTATGGGAGGTTGTGTGTGTTCACGAGAGGAATCGAGGAATGTTTGGGTTGTTTGCAGGCTGTTAGAGCGACCAGTAATCTCTCTTGACCTCTACCAACTGCCGAGCAACCAGTAAATAAAGATCAAACATGATTTATGCTTAATTTGTTGATTAAAAAGGGGAGGGGGACTTTGAGAGTTAAAACAAAAAGTATTATTATTTGCTTGGCAGAGGAGGAAAATCGTTTGAAATTAATCAACTGATTGTTTAAGTGAATTGTTCCCAAACCCTGGTAACCTGCATTAAAGGCTCGTTTGATAGTTAATCCTGGATCAGGGCGGGGGGGGGGGGACTACAATAGGTAGTTGTGTGTGTGTGTGTGTGTGTGTGTGTGTGTGTGTGTGTGTGTGCGCGTGTGCGTGTGCGTGTGTGTTTGTTTGAATACACAGATCACAGCTCTGCCACCTGCCAATTGTAGATCAGGCCCTGGTACTGCACATTAAGCCCCCATCCTCACCGTATCACCGCTCCCTCAGCTAATACACCCAGAGAAAGTGGGGCACAAACTGTGGGAAAGATGACAGTAAAACCTCACTTAATGTAATAATGGAAATTAAGGCTTAGACACTGGACTCACATTCTGCGTGCTAGAATGTATTTAAGAGGTTTAAGAAGATTTAATGAGGCATCAGCTTAAGTTTACATTCCATCATATCACGACAGCAGTGAAAACAGTGCCACAGCACAGTTTGTTCAGCAATAAGAAGTATCATTGTTTTAGAGACATATACCAGAGAGGCAGGGTATCGGATGTTAATATTTTATGGGTAATGACCAAAATATGTCTATGTATGTATTTTCAAGTCTTCCCACTAAGCCAGGCTAACCGTCTGCTGGCTATTTACAGATGTGGGAGTGGAAACGATCTTCTCATCTAATTTTCTTCAACACAGCATATTCCCCAAAATGTTGAACTTTTCCTTTGAGAAGAGTTTAATCAGTGAAAATGAAGATGGCTCATTCGATGCTCGGGCCATCTCAAATATTTGGTTTGGTTTCCTTTTGTGTGACTAAGAGTTAAGAGTCTACTAGATGTGTGTTTGTGTGTGTCCGCTCCTCCTGTGGTCGTTCTCGGTCCAGACGGTGTAATCCCACACAGGTGGAAATCCCACCTGACCCCCCTCCCCTCCCCTCCTCCTCTAACCCTCCCAACATGCTGTAAGGTTGCCATGGAAATATGCATTTGTAGAAAGGACATGCCCATTCATGGGAACCGGAGTCGAAAAGGCAGGGCTTTGGTTTCGGAGATGCTGCAGACCTACAACAAAGGTCAGGAATGGTCCAGAGTAGATTAAGACAATGTCTGACTTACTGAGAGGGTAAGTGACGGAGCCAGGATTAGGCTAACAAAGAGGAAGGACAGGTGAGATGCAGGTTAACACAAAACAAACACAATGCCCGGAAGGAAACGGTGTTGAGGTTTAAAGGAGTTGATTTGGAGGAAAAGGCGGCACACATGGTCGTGTCTCTCATCCTTTTACTCGACTCATGCCCTCTCAGTGTGTCTCCATCTTTCCCCTCTCCTCATTGCTCCCATCCCCTTCACTCCATCCCTCCCACGCCTCCTCCGCCTCTACTTTGTATTAAAACAACATGATCCATGAGGCGGGGAGGGCAACTCGCAGCACCGCTAATTCTAATTAATCCAGCGTGGTAGCACGGCCACGGCAGGCCCCAAGCGCTCCCAGTCTATCAGATAGAAATTCATAACTTAATTGAGGTCAGAGCCTCGAGCCGGCAGAACAAAAGTCTCCAGCCAGGACCAGCTAGATCAATAGTAATAAATATCTGACTGGGCGGCCCTACAATTGGTGGCTAGAGAGCACACAACAAGTCTCACACACGCAGTCTGCATGTAGAAGCTGCAGGCGGATCTGTGTGTGTCTGTTTGTGTGCGAGGAGTTGAGCCTTTAAGACTGGCAGACTGGCACATATGTTATTGATTTTTACATGTTCTTACATTTCTTGAATGTGCAGTTTTATTATTTTAGTCAGATTGTAGAAAAGTATTCTTTACCGGTATCAACAGTTTGTTTGTCTGCTTGTGTGTAAAATAGCGCGAGGGAGCTCTGTACACGCGTATGTGTGGCTGATTTGTAATGGCGGAGTCTCTCTCAAGGTATGGATCCATTGATTTGATATCGATACGAGTGGTACGGACTGACTCGGGCTGTTGATTTATTTATATAATAGAGTGAAACAGTGAATTCGTGAATGTATGAGATCTCAACCTCACTGATAAATGTTCACAGATGTCAGTGAAGTACTTGGTGAATCTTTACGATATGAAGGGATGTTTCCTCTGATTGCATGTAAGTTAACTGTCACGTTTTTACATTCGCTGCTCCAGTGTTCCTTCTAGAACTTCTAGAGCTGCGCTGATTAATTGACCGGACTGATGTATCTTCTGATATTAGGTCATTGCTGACGTCAGTGTTGGCGGAAACTTCGGCTGATAAGTCATAAGACCAAAAGGCCAAATATATAGTACGTTAAAGATAATTCAGGAACAGCGTCTTCAATACATAGTTTGTTCACCAGAGAGCTCTGACATGTTGATTTTTTAACAAACAGCACAAATCTTTGTCACTATTCTTTAATAGTCTTTAATTATAAGATGCTAATAACTGTTATGTTAACTTATTAACTTTGTTTATGTTATGTATTCAGTAAATGATAAAGTATTAAAACCCAAATACTGACATGTACATAGATACAGACCGTTACCAATTAGTTACCACTGCATTACCTGTTGGTTACTTATCTTGCAGTTAGTTACAATTA